TCAAAGTTGAAATGTTTTCATGACTGGCTTAGCCAGCGCAGCTTTTAATTCGCTAAACTATGACAATGTCGTCATATAACTCGCACAGCTCATCGTACCATCGAATGCGATATTCGCACTTGTCAATTCAGAAAGAACAATACATCCTCCGCATAACCTCACTCTCGAAAACTTGTAACGTCAAGTAATCAGATGATGTCATTGTCCATGCTTGTGCTCTATACATATAGTAGGGCGGGAATAATGAGGGACTTATAGAGTTTTGTTTCTGTTCGTCGAAATTTACTACTCAATGGCCTACTTAGCCTGCAGTAGCACCTACTGGCAAGAGTTATTTTGCGTTGGATTTCGAGGCTGACATTGTTATTTATGTGAATACTGGTTCCAAGTTAGACGAAATTGTCTACGACTTCCAAACTATGACTGTCAACATTAACGTGGGTGCTTAATCACGAGTCCGACGACTATGTTTTGATGACAGCAGATATTAAGTCTACCCCGCGTTCACCACCAGACCCATGTATTTCGCTTCCCTGTCCAGTCTGGAGAAAGTAGAATTAACGGCACGATTGTTGAGGCCAATGATATCAATATCTTAGCTTTACATTCTTTTAGAAGATGTTACCTGCTCTTTTTAGCTCAGCAGCTTAAATTATTTTATCCAGCAGTAGATTGAAGAAGTCACACGACAAGGAGTCATATTGTCTGAAACCTCATTTGGAGTCTAGCGGCTTGGAGAGGACTACCCGATCCTAACGGATCTTTTGCTACTGCTCAACGTTAGTTTACACAGCTCATTATTAATTCTTCGCCACCGTTTTTGAATAGCTCGGCTGGTAATCTATATGCCCCCGCGGATTTGTTGTTCTTCAGACGAGTAATTACTATTCGAACTTCTCTATCGTCATCGATTAGGAATCGGGATTGACATCTCTTGGTATCTTGAAACCTTCTGTTACAGCTCTCGGTGTCTATCCCATCCATAATGTGTTGCGGTCGATTGTAACGTTGTAGGTAAGCAGTCTGTATTCTCTCTGCTGCGGTCTGTTGCTGTTCTTTGCTTGATATGCCGTCCCACAGTACCCTTATACCGAGTTGTTGACGAGCGCTCGCAGAGAGCAGGACTGCAAGTCGCGTATTAAATCATTCGTATGTCTGTTTTGCAGCTTCTCGACCTTCGAACGTGCCCTGGTTTTTGTTGACGTTCGTGCACAGAGATGGATGTCTATCTTCATTGCAAACTAGTTAGTGGTTAGAGTGAATTGATGGATCTGGTTGGTGGCTTCTCGAGCCGAAGACAGCCAGGTAGCTTGGTGAATTTTTTTATGCTGGTCTCTAATGGTACAAGTAACCATATTTCGGGCCCCGTCGAAGTCGATCAGCCTAAACCCACTTGGGGATGTTTCCTCAGGGAGGCTGAATTTCCGGACCATTGTGTCAAAGATAAATTCTTCAAGGACGATTTTAACATCGTGTTGGTGGCAGCTCTCATAGGTGTGCTTAAAGCGTTCATAGAAGATATTTTTGGTCACATCTGTATAAATGCGACAAGAACCTACTCGTCTCAGGCCTTGTCCCGTCCATTGCACTTCGTGAGCCTTCTCTCTAACGAGGACATCAACCAGCTGGGCAGCGGCACCTTCCAAGTGTATGCCTTCAATATTTCGTAATATTTAAAGCGTTTGTCATGGTCGTCATCAAAACGGGGTCTCGCATCCGAAGTTGTTTGTAATTTTTTGTTGGGGGCGTTTTTCACGTGGCGGGTTCCAAACCGAGCGCACAACCCTGTGAAGGGGATATTTCGCCTTCTCACTTTACCGCAAACGGATGCTCTTAGGCTACCCAGAGGATACTTGTTCAAATACCGGAAGTTGTAAGCCGCTTGAGCCATATGTAAAATAATCGTTTCTGGGCCGCTCCCAAGTGAATGACGGTCAGAGAACTTTCCTCACTTGCGTGAACATCTACATATGACTCCATCGTGCTACAACTACTAAAAGGGTGATATATCAATAGCTAAATACAACAGAGACAAAAAGAACGCGAGATGGTATGAGAAGGCTTAATTTGTTGCAGGGGTAAAACCTGGACGATGGCGGTGGCAGCGCCCACTTTTAGGTGAAATCTTATATCTCGGGACCCGCCCTATTGATTTCAAGCAACACGATGTTCTTCTTGCATTCTTGGATACAACTTTGAACGAATAATGCCTTTACAGCATGCCTTCGCTCTTCTTATAACATACTTAATCGGCCTGCTGAGCGTACTATCCGCAACGCCATCACTTATCTTGAGATCAAGCAGGATAATATTCGACCGAATAGATCAAGTCCGGCATGCAGTGAAAAAAATATAGTAGCCGTAGCTGAGAGTGTACTCAACTTGGCGCATCCCAAATTAAAAGTCTACAAAATCCAATTTGTGCAAAAACTAAAACTCCATGGACTCTTAAAAAGTTCCAGGAAAATCCGATGTTTTCACGTTTTGTTTTGCGATGGGGCCCATTACTGACTTAATGGGGTTGTGAACACGTAAAACTGACTGAAGCGATTCAAGTGTACTTTCATCCAGAAAAAGCATTAGTTTGGTGTGGTTTGTGGGCCGGTGGAATCATCGGTCCATATTTCTGGAAAAGTGATGGCGGCGACCGTTATCGCGCCTTGATAACTGACTGTTTATGATCTGAAAGTGAAGCTCGTGTTCTCGACGTCATTGGGTTTCAACAAGACGGCGTCACTATATACATATCACGTCAATCAATGGACTTATTGGGAGAACACACAGTTTATGCCGAAACGTCGTTCAGTGGACTCCGAACCTCTGGTTGACATTTTGCACCTAAAGTTATTCCCCTGCCTTGTATTCTTGCAAGTTGCAAGAAAACATAATGTTCGGTTGCACCCAAACTTAAACTTCACTTATTTGTTTTATATAAATTTTGCTAACACCTGACCTTCCCCGGAAAGTAATATTTCTTGTATTGGAACGACACACTTTAAGTCCCCCAAGACAGGACAGCTGGCCAAAAGATTGATATCTACGAAAGCGCGTGAGAACAAATTTGGTTATACGAGTATATATACACATTCTGAAGAATCTATATTTCGGATACTTAAAATTTCAGCTAACCATAGATTATGGTAATCTAACTAAACTGACTTAAGAACAAAGAAGACTGCAGAGTGCATTTGTTGTACCATATTTTTCTCCCCAGGATTTTATCTCAAAAAACTGTATTTTCTACGGCAAAATAGCTTTTTAACACGCGAAGCGAAAATAACTCGTTGTACAAAATTAAAATAATAAAACAAAATATAAAATGTCCTTTGAAACCCATGTCAACCACTAACATAGCACACTATACGTGCAATTAATTAAAAACAAACAAATTTCAAAATGCACGACACCGTTAGCTCAGGTAATCTAAAGTCAGCCACACCCAGTAAACCCTTTAACGTTCGTTAACATCATGAGGCTACTTAAATTTAGTATCCTTTCGATGTGCAACCTCATACTTAATTATATGTACATTTAATGATATGAGCAGGAAAGTTAGGCTATTTACTGATACATATGTATGTCTTCAAATAAGAAGGATTTACTTAAATATATTTGAGGGAAATCGGTGTTTCACTCGCGTTTTTAAATACAGTTAAATTTATACTTACGGCCACTCATTAAGTCGAAAAAATTCGGGAATCAGGTCTTAATGTGGAGTATGTAAAGCCGAACAGCCGACATACCTATCCAAATCCCATTACAGTCTTAACGTTTACAATTTAATACTCTCGACATATTAACGTTTATAACATAAAGTTGATCTTCCTACCTGCTAATAAAAGGGTCTTTTGTAAGGGAAAACAAATTGGTAAGTCGACAATGCTTTTAACATTGAAATATGAGTCCAGGATGCGGGTAAAATGAAATCATATTCTGAAGACCTAGAACAACTTCGCCGCATTAAAAAATTCTGCTATTTGGTTATTAAAAACTTGTTCAAAAGTGCCAATTTTTGCATCTGTAAAGAAAATACTTATATGACCTTTGACCACGTGCCACTCTATCTGTTGTGCCTAATTTGCTTCGAGCGCGTTGTCAAAAAATAACCAGTTGACCGACAGCAGTCTTTCATGGGACATCATCGTGAATAAGTCTTGACATTCATTTGCTAGATATATGCATTTCCTTTGAATTAATTTTCTGTTGTCTAAGGGGTTTTCAGTGAGTGCGTTTGGAACAGTTTTTATTGCTGAATTATTTTTAACCATGCGCGTACGATTTGAGAAGCTCATAAATTTTACTTGCGCGCTTTCCACACTTACATATGTAAAGCAATCACCGCAAAACGATTTTCTTTAAGCACTCTACTGATAATAAACGATAAGAAGCCACTGAACTCATTATTATATATATATTAATATTTGTTGGAATACTATTCTGCATTGCAGCTGGTCCTCTCAACATTCAAACACATCCTGTTTTAGTTCTTGCATAAATTATAAGTTCAGAAATATACGAGTATCCGTTGTATTAACAAAACTACAAGTTTATCTGGAATATGCTGAATGCCTTTTCATTCACTTTTCGAATTGTATATTCCTTTAGCAATCTTGGGAACGCAAACATCTATGTTTTGAAATTGTAATAAAGTACCTAATTCTGTTCGTTCTTGTAATGGCGCCGACCATCTTATGCCATGGTGAGTAAAATTGAGTGTTGAGCTCATTGATGCGTACTAATTGATCAGCTTATTTGGCTGCTTTACAAGTGCTCTCCTTCTACTAATATTGCCATTGCCGGCGGCATTTTCGCTAGTTTTCTTCACCATATACATAATTGCGTACATATTGCCTTTTCCTTTGCCCTTTTCTTTATCTTTATATCACTACACTTCACCACTTTTCACCCACACACTGGCAAATAATATACATATGTATTTCAAGAAATTTTTAGGTGCTATAAAGTGTATCCACCTCGTTCGTCTAGGATCCTTTGCATTCGTAGTTGCTTCCATTCATAGCGATGCCCAGGCACAGCACAGCACAAAAAACTTTGCAGCGATTTTAAGTGGAAGATGTATTGCGAACGTGTGTGCGCACTTGAAAGTTTGCCATAATATGAAGAGGAAACGATAGCTGCTTTTCCATTTTCTTTCATATTTTCTCGTCCAAACGTGACATTCTTAAGCCCAAGTAGGAGAGGCTAAATTAAGTTGTGCTGGTTTCGAAAGAGGATGTAGAATGAACACTTGATGGAAACGAAACACAGCATCTTCACTGTGAGTAACCTTAAATAAAGCTAATTCAGATCTTTTATTCTTTTTGTATATTCATTTTAAACATATTATATAAAACAAAAATATACGTACATTCATATAGGCTAGTTCATTAGCTTAATACCCAACAGAAAGTAGTAGATTTACATTTCGAGTCTACGGTTTAGTTAAAGTATGTGTCCAAAAGTTATATACTCGTAATTCACAATAAATAAATAGCGAAGGATTCTGTCACTTTCTAATTGGGAAACGAATGTATTTTTATCGTTATTAATAATGGAATCTTTCCAAATACAAAAACAAGAACTTCACTTAGTTTTTGAAAAGTAACTAAGTGTTGAAACTTGGTAATTACAATTGTATTTATATTTATAATATTAATATATAAAAGAAAATTGTGTTAGTTACACCATTTATAACTCAAGAACGGCTGAACCGATTTGGCTGAAAATTGGTGTGGAGGTAGCTTAGATCCAGGCTAAGGACATAGGATACTTTTTTTTTCTTTATGTTAAAATTGAACACAATTCATAAATACAAAAATTATATTTCAAATCATATTCAATTCAAAATTATATTCAAAAGCATTTGGTCAAAACTCATGTTTGTAGGAGTCATTAAAATTTTTAATTTCTTCAAAAAACGAAATGCTTTATGATCCATTTTTTTGTAAACTTACACAAGTTGCTTCACAAAAATTGTATATCTCTTTAACTAATAGCTATAATTCAACTAATAGAAATCATATAGATGGTAGTAGTAGTATTATCTATGTATCAGCCACAGTGAAGCGTGGACGGGTCCTCTAGTTTACAATAAAAATACAAAGTTTTAAAACAGACCAGACATTGAAATAATTTTTATTATGCCAGCGGAAATATTCCATTCAATGCCCAATAACTGCTTGAAGTACTGGAAATTTATTGTGATGTAATATTGCTTTCAATTTGACAGACATTGGCGAGCTGTATACTGTGAAGTTACTCCGACAAATTAAACTATTAGGCAAATCTTAGCCTCTTTCTTTTATGAAATCCTATTTACCGTTTTGGACATAGTAATGTAACATTACAAGATAAGTATGAAAGTGCATATGTTCACAGATATTAGCGTTATTAGAGTTATCGAATTTCATACACATGAAAATTTTATTAATTAATATGTGTCAATGAGAGGATAACAAGTCTCGCAATTACAATACATAAACCACCATTTCGGAGACCGCATTGTGTGAATTAATAATAATAATAATAAACATAATGCATGTACTTTCAAATTTGGTTTGCACTATCATAGCCACAAATTTACTTTCAGCCCTTTACGACAGCTCTACTGAACCCAATAATACCGTTTTAGAGCCATAATAAAATATAATTAAAATTTCTTATGTCTGAAATAGAGTTGGGAATATTTCTGATAGCAAATCTTATTTATTTATACCTTAGTAGACGCTTTTTATTTTTTTATATGGTTATAACAATGAACAATATTTACTGTTCTATTTTAGTTAAAAAAGGTTGTAAATTATTGAGGACTTCAAAGCAGTCCTTGCGTTTACTTGTTCTGTTTATATACATAGTTAACTCTGTATAACTGTCAAAATTTTTTGGCAATGCTAGCAAGTTTATATTTCGACATAATACATAATTTGGAAAATCTATCGTTTAATGTGGTTTTGAGTTTCCAGCTTGGACAGTTCGTAAGTTTTACTTACATACTATTCTTTGATGAAGCCTTCGAACGTGATTTGTTTTCAATTACTTGTACTCAACTGCTAGTACCTGACTTATGTTAGGTTTTATTTTTTGTGGCCTACTTCCAGGCTTAAGTTTGCAAAGTATTAATTTCCATATAAACTTTGATTAAAAAAGTTGCATTTATCATATAACATAAGAATTTAAGAAATGTGAAAGTCATAATCGTCTTCTGCGCAGTAAATAATAAAAATGTTAAATTGGGAGTTATCAAAAGGAAAAGCAAATCTGTTTATAAAACAAATTTTATTTGAATGTATGAAAAGCAAGTGTTTCGAAAGCAGAACAGTTCAAAAAACTTCCCAGATGATTCTTCCTCGCATTTTTCCAGAAAAATTCAACAATTGGCCGTGACCGTTTAAACTTTACAACTTATTGAAGACATGTAGTTCAAAGAACGTCATGTAAAAAGTATAAGGTTGATCCCTTCCGTATAATACATAAAATCATGGTTCGTCCATTCTGGTGATATTGAGACTGACTTTCCTTCGTATCACTTTCCTACAAAGTACTCAAGTTTAGATGTGAGTATCCAAAAAACTAGCTCTAGATAAGTATTGCTACTTCATCTTCTTCATCTTCATCTTATCTGAAATATCTTTTAATTAGAAAAAATTTTCTATTTAATGATCGAAGATCGGCAATGAATAAATATATTTTAACATCGTACACATGAAACGACTCTTCAAATTAACCACTACTTTACACAGAAGAAAGAGATATAACAACATAAACAATTATTTGTGCAGGCGAATAGAAAAACCTCCTAATTGAATAGGTTTTTATGTATCTAAAGATTATTAACCATATATATTGTACAAATTACATTAATATGCATAGATAACCTCAAAGCTGGAGGATGTTTTACTAGTGATCTTGGTTAGTTATTAAACAGTTATTTGCAAACGCAACGAGCTGCCAACCACAGATGTAAGATTTATGTCAAAAAGTTTCACACAATACGTGATTTACTAAAAGTATATTGAATAAACGAAAAATATCCCTGGATAAATTCAAGAGCGCCCTCCTTAAACGTTACTAGCATCAAGAACAGTAATTTTACGGGTCTGTTAGAGATATTTGGTGATGATAACCAACCAGTTACTTTGAAAACTACTAAAACCGAGATAATTCAATAATAAATAGGTCAAATAAAAATATCACTTGCAAGATGCTGTGGAAGGGCTATGGAGGAGCCGTTTTCATAATTGGATAATGGGCGTGGTACCGCCAACTATTACAATAATAAATTCAATACGATTATTTACCTTTACAAAATATACTAAATCCAACACCAATAAAGTTAAATTAATAAAGCCTTGCAGTCCCCAAATACCCAACAAGTGGATATCAGTGCGTATAGCCGCCTAGTATAAAATGTATCTTCATGAATAACGGTAAAAATTTTCTGATAATAGTGCGCTTTTGTGCTCAAAATTGAAAAAATATAAAAGTATCGAGCTAGTTGATTTTGTACCGAATATAGTATAGAAATGTCAATTTGTGTATAACGTTCATAAAATCAGCGTTAGTTCTTTTCAAATAATAATGTACTCTTATGCCCAAAATGAATAAAGTCGGATGAATACTTCATTAGATATAGGTTTATGTACATACATAGACGCATATGATCAGAATGACGAGACGAGTTGAAATCCGAATGTTTTTCAGTACTTCCGTCCATCTGCCGTCTTTTTGTGCATGCTTTAAATTGAGTAAGCATGGAGACATCTTAATTACACTTGGTACACGTGTTCCTTGTTAAAAAAAAACACAGAAATCTTTCGTAGATGGGCCTTATCGGACCACTTCCACGCCCACAAAGTACCATTAAGCAAAAGCCTATAAAGTGTCATATATAAGCACTTAATTCAGATATATTACTGTAATTTGACGCAGGGAGCAAGAGGCACCTGCGCGTTAAAAAATGGGCGTGATCCTGTCCTCTTATTGACTTAATGTACGTGCCCATAAAACCACTTAAGCCACAATAACCAAATTCACTGAAGACAAATCCCTTAAGCGTCCCTACCAACATTGTAAATATGCATGAAACCTGATCCAGCCCCCATACAACGGTACTGTTAAAAATTACTAAAAGTGAGAAAGAAAAATAAAAGAGACAAAAATAATAACTATGCCAGAACATACACTTTCACGCCAGAAATGCTAAGAAACGGTCTTATAGGAGGCGGGGTACATATCGGACGATGACCGAAGCACTGCCCACCTTCAGGTAAAATCGCATATCTCGGAACCGATTTGGACTAAATTTAGTACATCGCATTCCTCTTACACTCCTTGTCACCAAAATGGGCGAAATAGGTCTACAACCACAGCTGATTTCCATATAACACAGTTTTAAATACCATTTAATTTTTTCGCTTTCTAGTATTCAAATTAAGCATCAAGGTAAAGAGATAAATCTTTGAGTGCTGCCCTTGCAGTATACCTACTTATCACCAAAAATTAAACAAAAACTGTTGAAGCTCCTAGGTACTAAATGGAAAAACCTGAAATCTCTAATATACCTTCCGATTCTCTGGGTGTATAAACGAGACCTTATATAATAACATAATAATATAAAATCCAGCAGTTGTGCTGAACCCCTATTAGTCCTTCCTTACTTATTACCATTATGTTAGTTAGCAAATATACATAAGCATGTTCCCGGTTATTACACATTTTAAGTCTAAAACTTCTTTCTACCCGTCGCAATAACTACATTAGTTATATTAATGCATTCAACTGATTTTACATAAATATAATTATGTTAGACAAGTCTTATAGAAAGTGACTATTGCTTCACTAACGTAATTGTAACAAGAATGTCAAACTACAACCATCTACGAGCTCAAACTTTTTTGTTACTAAGGAACGCTTATACCAAGTCTCATCAAAATACCTCAGTTTTTACTCAAATTGCAACTTGCATGGAAAGACAGACAGTAAAAACTGTCAATTACAGTTACATGCCGCCAGATCGATCTTCCAATCATATTAAACTTACACATTTCTTAATTATTAATGACGTCTTATCAGAACTTTGTCTTAAATAATCTGAATTTATCACAGGCAAGAAATGAAGATTTTTAGAAAACTGGAATTTTCGCAATCCATCCTTATATGGTTTTAAGTTCAGATACATACATTAATAATTGTAAATAGAATCATTTAATGATAAACAGATATTTGTCCAGTGAACTAAAATTATTTGGCAATAAAGTCTCCGTTTCCATAATTTATTTATATCCACACATCGTCCAATGTAGAACTTTTGAGACAATTCTCCGAACTTTGTATCTAACTAAGTATTTTTGAGAGTTTTATGCGAAATATTGGTCCAGGATTAAAAACAATAAATGAGTGACAAAAATATTATAATTTCACATGTATTACACATTTTTTTCTCTGTTTCCGTTTTTGGAAGCTATTGCCGTCATTGCACGTATGAACTTCGCTTAGACGGCTAAAGACGCAAGCGCTCGTCAACGTGTTTGCAAATGCGAAAGCCGAATAAGCCAGTAAGGTTAGAACTTTTTCCTATGAAAAAAAAGTGAAAATTTTTAGATAGTAGAAATACAAATATACATATGTATGTATGTATTTAATTTCTATGAACTTAACAAATATATTAATTTAAAATACATTTCATTTCTTACAGAACACAAGGTGTCGAGGTGAGGAATTATTTCAAAGTGAATGTCTGGCTGGGCGATTTGATCAACCACAAAGGACTTTGTAGCGAGGTAAATGGGGTTGTTACCTGTTTTCTTAATTTCACTTATTTAATTTAAAATTCTAAGGTTAAACACACAATAGCACATAGAAACATGCTTACACAAATCATACATAAAAAGTAAGGAAAAGCTAAGCTCGAGTGCATCCAAACGTTTTATATTCTTGCCACTTGCAAGAGTCAAGTCTAGGGAAAGTTGCAAGAGGATCGGAGTCCTAGTAATTATATATAATATATATATACAACTTATACATTTACCGACATATTCGACATATTCGACACTATTTACTATTTGGATGTTGGGTGTAGTTTCGATTTTATTTATTTTTGCCAAGACTAAATACTATTAACATGAGATTCGATAAGGTACCTCACATCTCATCAAAAATCACCCGAATGTTACATATATGTATGTTTGTAATATGGGTGTAAATCACGTTTTCGCCCAATTTTAAATACATACAAAGATACACTGTTATCAGCGGAACACACTCTCTCATTTTCATTGACATAATTCACATGTTGGGAAGTACGGTATTTACCCGGTTCAATCCGATTTTGACAATTAGACATACCATTGATTTTGAATTGTGTTATATGGAAAGTAGGCATGGCTGCGTTCCGATTTATATAGGAAAGTGAGAAGAAAGTTGAAATCTGTTGGACGGTTACGGAATTTGCAATATATTATACAAATCATAAATAAAATATGATATGTTATAGCACTACGCTATATTTATATTATATTATTGCAATTTTTTGTTAGAATTCTACCTTCTTGTAGTTTCATAATTTAGAACTCGTTGACACAATTATAAATTGAATATTTAGCCAACGATAAGATTAAAATAATAACTAGTAAGCACTTAATTCTTTAAATGTGTTTAAAATAATACGATACACCAGTGGCAAATCTCGGAAGGATATTACTTTTGGTGTAAATACTGCTGTTGCAACTTTGAGTAGTTGGCATGCAAACAGCGTCGATGTCAATAACAGTACATATAGCGGTTGCCGATGTATGGAAACAGCTCTGTTTTTATATTTCATACAGGAACTCGAAAACCAGAAACAAAACTGCGCTCACACATACGATACTTATGACAAAATCATATATCCTCCGTGTATGGTTATGCACTCATGTACATACATACAGTATATATACATATGAGAAGTCGAGTTCTACATTTTTGAATTCTGTTTGCACAAACAATAAAAATTGTGTAAGTCAACATTACACGTTCGTATATACGGGTGTGTAATCCCGCCACTGTAGTAACTTACACGCTATGCGCTTTCGGTGTTGTTTTTGCTCTTAATTTTATTGTTATTGTTAGTGTTGCCGTTGTCATGTAAATTATGCCAATTTCGTCTTGTTTTCCATTCAAGTGCTGTTAGCATGTGAAAAACTCTTACATTATACCCCCGACAATATGGTAGCCACTTCCGACTGCGACGATGGCCCCACAGTTTGCTTTAACTCTCGAGATTATGAAAACAAACATTTTCGCCATGCAACTTGCTCTTAGTTTGCGCTTGGTTGCGTTAAATCGGCTCCTGGCGTTGCCAGCTCACTGACTTCTTGCATAGTTTTAGGCATATTAAGCAATAGTCTGGTGGAATTCAATACGAACGCAGTTTAGGCTCTAAATTATTAATTATTTTTTTTTATTAGTTTAGAATTTCATTTTCTCAAAAAGTAAGCTGGAAAACTAAAGTTCGGAAAGAATATTGAAAAATGTCAGGTCCCTAGTTTCATGAATTTCGCTAGCAATTTAAAGCGGGTTCCTTAAAGAGTCTTATGAAGTACAAACGAGTACATAACTTGCCTACAGAAATAGTATAATCGAGAGATTTCGGAAAGAGCTATTAAATAATCTTACGAAATCGGTGTCGGTCTAGTAGTTGAAAAAATGTTCTACGAATACTTAAAAAAAAATCTCCTGTTACTGACTTTATTTAAGTGGGATATCATCATCATCAGATGTAAATAAAGTCAATAACAAGAGATTTTTTCTTAGACCGACACCGATTTCGTAAGATTATTTAATAGCTCTTTCCGAAATCTCTCGCTAAAAGGAAACTATGGAATTGAATATATAATGTATTGTAATAAAGAAATATAGTACTCTAACTACTAAGCTACTCTTATAACAGCACCGCACACTAGGTAAAAAAGGGATTTGTATGATCGTCCTTATATTAAAATAAATATATCTCCTAAAATATTATTGCATGAGCTTTAAATGCTGTTTGCAACCTTTGATGTTACAAAGGCAACACGAACGCTAGACGATCCCATAAAAAACTAATTAAACTGCCATAGAAGTTGAAATGTTCTAAATATAAATCGAACGGAGCACGTTATAAGAAACACACACTAATTTTTGTCGAGGCAAAGCAGATGGTGGCAATATTTTACTCAATTGCACTTGAAACAATGGAACCGGCTAAAAATATATTAAAAATACTAAGGGAAGTAAAATGTTAGTGAATGCACATTGAAAAGTTTCAATTCGTTTATTTCTTTTCGTATTTTCATTTTAGAAACTTTTTGCCAACTTTGCTATTTCACTAACAAGAATTGGAACCGACAAACAGGGAAGTTAGCTTTGAAATTTGACACTGTCGTTGTTGCTATTTTTATTCTCTTGCAACTTTTTGGTACAGAGTATTATAGTTTTGTTCATCTAATGGTTGTACGTATCACCTAAAACTCATCGAGATAGATATAGGGTTATATATATATAAATGATCAGAGTGAAAAATCTGTCCGTCCGTCCGTCCATTCGTGTAAGGTATAACTAAAAGTGTAAGTAAAAATTGATAATCGTATATCTCAATGAAACTTGGTCTGTGGGTTCCTTGATACAAACAAAATTTTCGAATTCGTTGTTGGGCGTAATCGGACCAATACGGCGCCTACAATTCGGCATTAACCGAAAGCCTATAAAGTGCCATAACAAAGCACCTAATTAAGTTATACAACTCATATTTGGCACAGGGGATTGCAATAGCCAGGAACACCTGTGTGAAAAAATTTTCAAAAAGTGGGCTTGGCCAAACCACTAAAGCTACAACAACTAAATTCGCTCAGCACGAACATTACAAGAACTCCTACCTAGGGTGTGAAATGTGAAAATGGTCGAAATCGGATGAAATCCACGTTCACGACTATATAGAGGTACCGTTGAAAACTACAAAAAGCGATTTAAATCAATAACTAAATGCGCCAGAAACACAAAAAAGCTTGCTACCGAGATGGTCTGATAATGCTTAGTAAAGTACCGATTTCGACAAAATTTAGTATATACTACAGGTTAAAGTTTGCACGAATAATGCTTTTCGTGTGTGTCACCTTATTATCAAAAATTGTACCTATATTTGACTTTTTATCAAAAATATCCGTGAATGTGTGAGATATGTAATGGAAATTCAGGGGTAGTACTCCTCTGACAATGGTATGCGTATATGTTAAAAATGGATTGCATCAGGTCAAATCTTCCCTGAGCACTATATATCTAATATAAAGATTTTCTAACTTCCCGTTGACTTTGCACCGCATATATCGGTCAATATACGAGCTATTTCAACGATAATAAAGAATCTTGTTTTACTCATAACAGTGTATCTAATAATATCAGGATTTTCGAATATTCGATTTACTCTATATGTTTAGTTTTTTAGTTTGTGACATGTTAATTGTATGTGGTTTTAGGAAAAATAGATGAAATCGAGTCGATACTATCCCAACTACCATATACTAGTACATATAATGGTTTTAATTTTTCTAACAAAAATTCTATGTCTGTCAGTATAAGAGTTATATATAGTATATTTTTATATATAAAATTGCTTGGATTTCGATCCTCAGGTTAAAGTTTTATACCTTAAAGTATTTCCCTGGCTTTGATTATTGAAAGTTGCAAGGGTATAAAATGCTCGGTTGCACCCGAATCTATTTTTAATCCCTTGCTTTTTTTAAGTTGTTTGTAGCAGTCGCGCTTTCTGACTAAGCTACACTACTTTCTTCTTCGTGGGTTTGTAAAGTATTTAAGTGCACTTGACTTGGAATTATAGGCAATTTAATATAGTTCCGTAGCCTTTTTTCTTGTGAAAACTCATTAAAATTGTTTAGTAATTATATTTATCTCCAAAAAGGAATTAATCATTAATTTGTAAACTTATTAATCTATTATCATTACCGTCCAATGAGTTCTGTACATGGAATTAAAGTTTCATAAATATTGGGTATATGGGGCACAACAATGAATTATTCGCTTCCGTTCTGGAAATTTCAAAACTTCGATTTACACTGATGGAATAATGTCTTTAGAAAAAATGGCAAAAAGTGGTCGACCAAAATTATTATTTATTTATTAGTATAAATATAAAAAAATAAGTTGAAATTTTATTGGAACCTTATCCAAACATCTGTCAACACATATTCAGAGCTCTATGCTTGTAAATATATCTTAGTTAAATAAAATATTGATGCTCCAGTAACATAGATATTTCGTGAAATTTGAGCACTCTCTGTTTGGGTAATAAAAGTTATTTTAATGATCTTATATTATTCGATGCAATGAGATATATTAATGGTTTTAGACTTATTTATTATGACAATTAATCGATATTAGTCATGTTCACGACTTTTTAGGCTTTAATTCTACTAAAATTAGTTTGAACATTTTGAATGAAGAACAAAGAAAAAATGTAAAAGCCATAGGAAAGCAAAACAAACTTTTCAGCGTATGAAGAAAAGAAGTGCTATGGTAGCAATGAAAGTGTAATAATACTAATCATAATATTTAAATAAAACTTTTGAGCCTACAACTTAGTCAAAAGTTACTTTGAATTTCATATAAGGTGAATATGAATGGTCTTAAGATTTCGAATAAGTACCATGAAGTGATGATCCTTCTCAGAAGCTACACCCTCGCCTGACATCCAACGGGCGCGTAAAATTATATGGAATGGATGCGGAATCTTATAGAACATTTCATTCTTTACTTACGGTCATTAAAAACATGTGTACCATAACGCCCAAAACCAAACTCATGGCCCTAATCATGCTCAAGAACTTAGTAAATCAGATATGAATGTAAATATATTCACGTCGTCCTTCTGTAATGACATTTGTTAGTGGGCGATGTTGTACTAAATGTCATCCTCCTTCGAAATTCCGCTTTGGCTGTCTTATTGCTCTCGATAAGTTGGCCGTACATCCAAGCAGGACACCAGTTCCCAGCACTGGTGACATATTCTTCCGAAGTGCAATTGCGTTTTTTACAAACGCCTGCTAGACAATTGCTATTGCAATAGCTTGCAATATGTAATGCAATCTATGTGAGCTCGAAGTACATGTTTATTTATGTATGAATGCCCATAAAAGTACATGACTCGTTCGCATATATGTACATAACTGCATTCACCAAAAAAAAAAATTTAATGCAACTTTCAACGCAAATTGTTCGGCCATTTACATATGTACATATACTAGGGGATCCGGCCGCGTTTTATACTATTCAATACAGTGAAATTTCTATTTACGAATAAAGGCGAAATGTGTTTGTCGGTATAATAATCCAAGGGATTGTACAATTGTGTTCTAGTTTTCAATATGTTTATACCAATAAATTTCATAATAACGAAATTAAGGCTCAATGTTTGGTTACCAGCGCTTCTGACCAGTTAATAGAGTTGTTCGCTTATTAGATTGAACTTAATACACATCAACAATGTCCACGGTTAATGGAGATGTCCGCTTAATAGTACGTCCATTTATGAGAGCTTTTATTGTATTCTTTATTTATGAGTTGTCTTAACTATCCTATCTTTTAAGTTGGTTCTAACTAGACACAGTGTGCTAAGTTTTACTAAAATCGGTTCCCCAGTTTAGGAGTCCATTGCGGGCAAACAACGTGACACGTACTTTTCATACTTTTTATATATTCATACTACTGACAGACACTGTCACGCGTTGCTGTGATTAAATTTTTTGTTATATTACATTGTTGTAAGCCCAGGGAACAGTTACCCCTTAATACAATGAAATTATTGTGTACGAACAAAGACGGAAACGTTAAAGCTGGTATAAGAATCCACTAGATTGGTATTTGACAGGGAAGGACTTTTGATACGATTGAACGAAATTCTCATACTATTGACTTTGTTAAGATTTAATACAAAAGAATTAATTTAAAAATAATTTTTTAAATTTAAATTTCTAACAAATGGTTTTAAATCTAAAAGAATAATATTCAATATTTTGAACAATCAATACTTTTAAATTAAGTTTAATTTAGCACTAATTGGTGCACAATATTTTTTTTTTCAAATCTAAACCACAAATGGACATTGTTTGGCCTTGACTATTGTGTACTTCCTTAATTTTTGCTTGAGGAGATCTCACAAGTGCTCTTTATGGTTGAGATGAGGACTCTGAGGAGATGTTCGCAGCAGATTATACAGCAAACAAAGCTTTTTTTTTTTAAGTTGTTGTATCTACTCAGATCCATAACTGTCTCTATAAAAATCAGATTTCCTAAGCCAATTGCTGCCATACACCCTCACACCATTATTCCGCTTCTTCCATGTTTTAGCGTGACGACTAGATTTTCATTTTTAAATGCTTCTCCGTTTTTCTACCATTACAACACTTTTCTTGATTCCAAAAACACAGAATTTACATTCGTCTGAGAATGTAGCGTGATATCAGACGTCTGTTGGCTTTAAGATTCATTTGCAAAGGATATACGCTTTTGCCTATTGACTTCTGAAATCATGGGTTTATTACGTGTATCTCTGCTGTAGTAGTCCGGTTTTTTATGAGACGAAGTATTTCGAAACCGATTTGGAAAAGCTCTCCTTCACTCTCACTTACTGAAATATCTTTGCTCTTCTGTTCCATGTTATTATGAAAACAAAATTATATAATGTTATTGTCTGGACATTGTGGAAAAGATGAATACTAAAACAGCCCATTGGTAGTCGCACTATCTTGCATTCCATGCATCAAAAAATTGTACGCAAACTTTTGAGTGACATTTTTTCGTAGAACTAATTTTAACATTAAGACTAAGGTATAGTACGTTGTTGGAAAATTATTTAAGAAATATATTTATAAATGACCGAACAATTCGGGTTGAAAGATCATTTTAAGATTATTTGGGGTGTACGCTGTTATACATATTCGAGCGAATGTAAATATGTCTAAAAAACTCAAGTTAGAAAAGTAAACTTAATTTTAACTCTCATTTCTTATTTGGAACGATTTGTTTAAATGTTCAACATTTTATATATTTCTATATATACCCATCGGTTGAAAAAGTAATTGCTTTTATTTCATGGTATCTTTTCATCGACTGCCTCGAACATATTGTATCACTCAATGAACGATTTTAAGACGATGAAACGTCTAGGTCATCCAAATGACAACCTAAATTGCATAAAATCGCTCGTGGCCGGGCAACACGTTTTTTATTCTTTATAACACATCACAAGCATTTTTTCTTATTTCTTTTAATTTTTGGAATTCGTTGCATAATTGTAATTGCGGTCAGTTTCAAAAGAGTATTTACAATATTTTCAGAAATATGAATTTTATTTTATATCTTCTGTAGTCTTATGTTTAGATGAAAACTCTTTTAGGCTCTCAACCCGGTATTTGAAGGTGAGAGTATTGTCTTCTTGTTCGAAATGTTACGATGCTATGCGATTCGATGTTCCTTTTTCGTGTTGAAATAGCTCTCGGTTTCAAATTAAAATTTACATTATGTTCGGAAATTTGGTTTTATTATCTATATTTAGTATATAATACGCAAATATGCAAAATATAATAGGAATATTTAGAAAATTGTAAATAGGAAGAAGAAATAGCTAGTGAGAAGTATTTTTGTGCACCACGTACATAAAGCTTACAAGAATTGGAGAATGCGAAAGAAAATGCAGACAATTTTTCGACTTAAGCTGCCGGACTAGCGTCGTTCGTGGCTTTCCAATAGGGATGGTATGATTTCTAAGAGTCGTTTCGTGCTCTTTTGGCATTTAATTGTAAGTAGTAATAATGGTGCGTTAAATAAACAAAACAGTCGAAGCCGGTGTGAAGAAAATCCATAAGTTGTTCCCGAACAACCATTACCTTCACCTAAATTGACAGTTTGAAGTATTTTTTGGTCTGGTGGAATTATCGGCCCGCAATTCTTTGGAAACGAAGTTGGTGGCCCCGTTACTGTCAATGGAGAGAGGTATAGATCGGTGATAACCATTTTTTTTATGACCGCAATTGGAAGAAATTGATTATGGCACCAATCGAATTATTACGAGAAAAGTTTCGAGATACGATTACTCTCCTCAAGCTTTAGAAGTCAATATTGAATGTGATATTCAGGTCATACATCTTGATTTAGTGGAAAAAGTACTCGAAAACCAGTTTGTTCTTTGAAAATAAGTCGTGGAGGCCATTTGAATGATCTCATATTCAGAACTTAATTGTATCAACTGTACTTCACTTTAAATAAAAAATATTTGAGTTTCCTTAACATTTATATATTTATTATATATATATTTTTTTTTATTTGGTTGTAAATCTGGCAAGTCAAAAAAAAACAAAACAAAAAAAAATGGTGTAGAACTTCTTTCAATTTGTTGAAATCTTTTGTTCATTGTCAACATTAATTGGTCGCCGTTACAATAGTTCCCATTCTTCCAATTGCCGAATAACTTCTGAAGCTCGATTTTTGGAATAGGCTAGGCTGGGGCATCATTACGTATTATTTTAGGCCGAAAACCCACTAACAAATTCTTTGATCCATTTATTTTAATAAACGAAAATCAACATGTTCATAAAAACAGTCCAACCTTAGCGGCTACTAAAGACAAAGTAACCAGCTGAAATTTCATCGTACTTCAGGGGCTTGTAGTACATCTACATAACAAAATAAATCTATAATTGGACTAACCCTTCTTTTTTTGAACACACTTCGTACAAAGTCAAGGAATTGGGAAACTGCTTATATCATAATATGGAAATACAGAAATCATTCGGACATAGTGTATATCAAGCGCTGGGAATACGAAAAATTTATTATCTCTTTTATATACATATGCCGTTTTTGAAAGAAAAAACAATTATATTAAAAGCTCTTTAAAAAATTAAAACATCTTGGCAACCCATCCATATAGGCAAGTTAGGCATATGCCTAGTTCGCAAGAATTTTGAGGGAACATTTTTGCAAACTTTATTTACATATTTTATTTATAGTTTTTATTAAAAAAATAATAAATAAAATTACCTTTGTTTTATATATATAAACCGGGGTTTTCAATAAGATCGCTACAAAAGTTAAATAAAACCAAAATGGGATATCAATAAAATTCTTTATTCCAGTGAAAGTACATTTGATGACATTATTTATGGAACTGGCCATCACGGCCACGCTTGCAGAAGACCATACTCTGAACCCAATTTTCGACGGTTTTTAAGTATAAACCGGCCGATAATGCAACAATTTCATGTTCGATATTCGTATGAAGTTCATCAATCGTCGCAGGTTTGCTGGCATACATCATTGACTTGACGTAGCCCCATTGGAAATAGTTTAACGACGTCAATTCACATCACCGAGGCGGCCAATTGACTGGACCATATCGTGAGATAACAAGTTCACCAAACATTTTTGTGTGGATTGCTGCCTGACCCATGATGCATGTTCAGCCCGAAGTTAAATGAGCCTCATCGCTAAGGATGATTTTTCAATGAAAATCCGAATAATTTTCAAGATGCTGCTCATACCAATTCACGAACATAAGACGATTCTGACGGTCAAACGGCTTCAGTTCTTGCATCAATTTGAACTTGTAAGGATGTAGGCCAAGATCTTTTCGCAAAATTTTTTACAACAATGCCACAGAGATGGCCAACGCTTGAGAACGACGTGTGCGAGACCCATTTGGGTCTTCCTCAATTGATACATTCTCGACATTATGGGCACGGGAACATTTTGTACTGTGCCTGTGGATTCAAATTTTTCTACTACACGCTTTAATTGTTGACTAATGTTTGGCAAACATTACTGAGGAGAAATTTCAAAAGAGCGGGAAATTTTAAAAATAGTTTCTATTTTGACATTATTGATATTTTCTTCAATTATTGAAAGATACGATCAGTTGAAACAAGTTGCTAAAACTTTTGGATATCTATTTAATATTGATCAGCTATATAGTTGTACATATACAGCCTCGTTTGAGCACTGTAAAAAATGAGAAATGTTATTAATGTTATTGCTCATAACAACACTCCACTGCACATTTTATATTAAATTTGCTCATTTGCTGTACAATGTGTAAATCAATAAAGACAGACAGGCTTGGCAACGTTAATCTGATTTTTCAAATTAAGGGCAGAAAATATATAAATATATATTTGCTGGTAATTGTAATACTTTTTTAAAGGGATTAGTTTTGGCCCAAAAAATTTTTGTTACCGAAATATAGATGAAAATTAATGTTAATTGAAAACTTTAATAAGGGTATATGTTATTTCTAAAAAGTTATAAATTTTGTTGTTATGATAAAATAGGCTGAGAAAGGGCGCATAATTTGGCATTTACGTGGGGAGGAAAATTGTCTCGGCCCGGCCCTGTGGCTACTAATTTTTGTTGCCCAAACTCGTAATTTGTTGGTGCTCTCTCAACGCGCTTTGTTTTCTACTGCGTGAAGTAATTATATGTATGTATGTTGATTTTAGTGCAATTTTGGGTTTTTTGTTGGATATTATTGTAGTGACCTTACCGCAAGTAACGGTATGAACAGTTTGTAAAAGAAGTTAAATGTAAGTACTATTGGTGTGAAATTTGTTTAAATTTTCGGTCCAAATTTAAATAAAAATACTCGTAAGTATATGGAACAGTTCACTGTTTGTTTATATTAAAGAAGGTAAATATTCGCATAAATAAAGTTAAAACCTGTCTCAAGGTCTCAAATAAATTTTTATGCAGTAATGTAAGAATACGATTGAAAAATGTCTAAAGGATCATAAGGACTATGATTAAACAACTCGCAGCGGTCAACCAATTTTAATAAAAGAAAAGGAAATTTTGGCAGATCAGGCATTTCGTGGTCGATAAGAAAGTAAGCACCTCTCAAATTCGATGTTTAATGTATCTTCCAGCTAGTACTCGATGCATCCTACAAATCCTAAAAGCAGAAGTCACGAATCGACAAAAAAAATGAAACTACTTATTTTTGGGACATCTGGGAGCAATCCGTCATATTTAGTGACGAGAAAGAGTTTAATTTAGAAGGAAACGGCGTGTTCAGTATTCTTCTTCTTATTTGGCGTAGACACCGCTTACGCGATTATAGCCGGGTTAACAACAGCAGCGCGCCAGTCGTTTCTTCTTTTCGCTACGTGGCGCCAATTAGATATTCCAAGCGTAGCCTGGTCCTTCTCCACCTGGTCCTTCCAACGGAGTGGTGGTCTTCCTCTTCCTCTGCTTCCTCCGGCGGGTACAGCGTGAAATACTTTCAGAGCTGGAGTGTTTTAGTCCATTCGGACAACATGACCTAGCCAACGTAGCCGCTGTCTTTTAATTTGCTGAACTATGTCAATGTCGTCATATATCTCATACAGCTCATCGTTCCATCGAGTGCGAGATTCGCCGTGGCCAACGCGCAAAGGACCATAAATCTTTCGCAGAACTTTTCTCTCGAAAACTCACAACGTCGACTCATCAGTTGTTATCATCGTCCAAGCCTCTGCACCATATAGCAGGAAGGGAATTATGAGTGACTTATAGAGTTTGGTTTTTGTTCGCCGAGAGAGGACTTTGCTCCTCAAGTGCCTACTCAGTCCGAAGGAGCACCTGTTGGCAAGAGTTACCCAGTGTTGGATTTCCAGGCTCACATTGTTGAAGGTATTTACGCTGGTTCCAAGATAGACGAAATTATGTACGACTTCAAAGTTATGACTGTCAACAGTGACGTGAGAGCCAAGTCGCGAGTGCGACGACTGTTTGTTTGATGACAAGAGCTACTTTTCGTGCTGTCGAAAGCAGCTTTGAAATCGACGAAGAGGTGGTGTGTGTCGATTCTACTTTCACGGGTCTTTTCCAAGATTTGGCGCATGGTGCATATGTTGATTTGCCAGGTCTAAAGCCACACTGATAAGGTCCAATCCATTTGTTGACGGTGGGCTTTAATCGTTCACACAATACGCTCGATAGAACCTTATATGATATGTTGAAGAGGCTTCTTTTTCAAGAATTGGGCATAGCACACTTAAATTCCAATGGTTGTGTATGCTTTCATCCGACCATATTTTACAAAGAAGCTAACGCATGCTTCTTGTCAGTTCTTCGCCGCCGTATTTTAAATCTCGGCCGGCAATCCAGCAGCCCCCGCCGCTTTGTTGTTCTTCAGGCGGGTAATTKCTATTCGAACTTCTTCKTKGTCGGGCAATKRAACKTCTGCTCCATCGTCATCGATTGGGGAATCGGGTTCGCCTTCTCCTGGCGTTGTGCGTTCACTGCCATTCAGCAGGCTGGAGAAGTGTTCCCTCCATAATTTAAGTATGCTCTGGGCATCGGTGAATAGATCACCTTTGTGGGCTCTACAAGACTATGCTCCGAACTTGAAACCTTCTGTAAGCCGCCGCATTCTTTCGTAGAATTATCGAGCATTACCCCTGTCCGCCAGATTACAAGCCAGCTGACTAAGCTCTTCGTACACACGCATTTCGGCCTCTTTCTTTTTCWGTCTGCAAATGCGTCTCCCTTCCCTCTTCAACTCTCGGTATCTATCCCATCCCGCACGTGTTGTGGGCTGTTCCTTTGCACTTTCCGAAAGCCAATTGTTCCGGTTGCAACTGTACGTAAGGAGTTTGAAATGCCGTCCCACAGTTCCCTTATACCGAGTTGTTGAGGAGTGCTCTCAGAGAGCAGGAGTGCAAGTCGAGTAGAAAATCGTTCGATTGCAGCTTCTCGACGTCGAACCTTCCTTGTGTTTGTTGTGATAGTGGTCCGAGTCGATGTTAGGACCTCGCACATCTAAAACACTGGAGACGTGTCTTCCGTCTATCACGACATGATCGATCTGGTAGGTAGTTTTTCGGTCCGGAGACAGGTAGCTTGATGAATATTCTTATGCTGGAATCTAGTACTGCAGATAACCATATTTCGGGCCCCGGCGAGTCGATCAGCCTCAACGAATTTGGGGACGTTTCCTCGTGGAGGCTGAATTTACCGACCGTAGTGCCAAAGATAAATTCTTTGCCCACCCTGGCGTTAAAGTTGCCAAGCACGATTTTGACATCGTGGCGGAGGAAGCTCTCGTAAGTGCGCTCCAAGCACTCATAAAAGACATCTTTAGTCACATCGTCATTATATTGCGTCGGGGCGTGGGCGCAAATCAGCGATATGTTGAGGAACCTCGCTTTAATGCGGATTGTGGCTAGACGTCTCTCTCCCACCACGAATCTATATAGGGGATATTTCGCCTTCTCACTTTAGCTCGCCTTCAAACGGGTGTTCTTAGGCTACCCACGGAATGCTTGGTCAAAGACCGGAAGTCATGAGTTGCTTGAGTCACATGTAAGACAATCGTTTCTGGCCACTCCCAAGTGAATAGCAATCAGAGAACTTTCCTCACTTGCGTGAACTTCTACACATGACACCATCATACGGTTTTCAGTATTACTATCGGGATATTCATCGCGAGAAAGAAGTTCGATTCGCTAGAATATATATATAGACTGCATTTGAACATCATGAAATTACCCCAGTTCGTATTGTGCCCCACACATTAAACTCAGAATAAATATTGTTAATACAAGTAGTTCGGACATAACCGATTATTTCACACTCTTGCAAGAAATAAACCGAAGTAATGCATTCAGGTACAGGCTTGTGCGTTATATGGAGCGACTTTATTCTTTCTAATCACAAGGATGCATCGTTATAGGAAAAACACTCTCTCTGAATTTTATTAAGATAACTCACATATTGGCCATTTCACATTGTCGGTGGAAGCTTCTACAATATTTGCGTTAGGCGTATTGGGTTGTTGTAGCTTTACTCCTTTTGAAGATATCTATATTAAACATTGTAGAGAGTAGGAACACTTTTTCAAAATTTTTTGCCCACAGATGTACGAGGTGTGTTCAAAAAATATCGTGAATTTTGAATTTTCGCGGGTTACGTATATTCGAATTTCGAATTTTTTGTGACGTTATGTTGGTACTCATATCTCTCACTTATGCCGACAAGCTCGGCCATTTTGAATGTTGATTTAATTGTTGACAGCTGCTTTGCTTGCACGTGTTTTGGATCGTCTTCGATTTTTATCTATTAAAAAAAATGGATCAAAGAACCTGTATCAAATTTTGTGTGAAAAACGAAATTAAGTGCACGGATGCATTCCGAATGTTGACTATGGCATACGGAGAAGCTACCTTGGACCGAAGCAACGTTTATCGGTGGTACAAAATGTTCTCAGAAGGCCGAGAAGATGTGACAAAAATTGATTTTTTGAAGTGCTTCGAAGATTGGAAAAACCGTTGGCACAAGTGTATGATATCTCATGGGGATTACTTTGAAGGAGACAAAATAGATATTCATGAATAAATAAATAATTTTTGAAAAAACACAAAATTCGCGATACTTTTTGAACACACCTCGTATATTTCTATTGCGATCCCCCGTGCCAAATTAAAGTTTTATATCTTCATTTAGTGGCTAGTTATGACACTTTATACTATACTTTTTCGGTTAATGAAGTTTTGTGGGTATATCATCGGTCAGATTGCGTCCAGCTA